ATCAGCATTTATCTCCCACTGCTTCCTGATTGCAGAGCTCTTTGCTCTGCCACCATACCAGCTACCATGGCGAGCCGTTCTCTCAAATTGTGAGCCGAATAAACCCTTCCCTAACTTGTTTTTATTAGTTATTTTGTCTCACCAACAAAAGAAGTAGCTGACACAAGAACGCTCTGTGAAAATCCTATTAATGACTTTCACACTGCAAGGAATTAAGAGAAGTCTTTTGCTAGTACAAACTCCCAAGACAGTATATCACACCTACGTGAGCTCTGGGGAGGCAAAGTCCACAGTTTATGTCTCTATACAGTTCTGGCATTTGCTGGTCTCCAACTCAGGAGCTGTCATGAAATATGATGTCTTATAATAACTCCTGATCATTTGATTAAAATTGCTATACCATCTTCCTGGCTTAAATCTGAATAGTAAAATTCACAGAAAAACTTAATGCCGATATTTATGAAACAGCTGAGAACTGAATGACAAATTGTTCTTCTTTGTCCTTAAAAAAAAGACAGAATGAACTCCCATTTTAATAAAAAGGAATGTTCATTGTCATCATCCCCAGAGCTGGGGACATAACTCAGTTGGGAGAACACTTGCACAGCATTCATAAGGACCTAGGAACAATCTCCAGCACCATATAAACCAGGCACAGTGGTAGCAGGTACCTGGGATCCCAGAACTCACGGTGGCAAAGGGAGGATCAGAAGTTCAGTCATGTCCGGTTATGCAGTGAGTGCTAGGCTAGTAACTTCAAAATTTGTTAAGTGAGCTATATGTATTTCATTGGAAGGAAGGGAGGGGGAGAGAGGAAAGGAGGGGGAAAGGGAAGTAAGAAGGAAGGGCATTGTTATAGGATGGGGTAGAAAGAAAGGGCTACAGGGGAGACTTTTAAATTACTTTTTTCTTTAAATGTTCACTACCATGCCGAGCTGTAATATAAAACCATAGCAGCAATGCTCACGTTCAAAACATCTAAATTAAAAGTAAAATAATTGTAGTTGCTTTTAAAGCCATGATTTGAAAATTAAAAACAAAAACTGAAGATGTTAGGAAGATAAAAAGAAAAATTTCTCATCCATATATTAAGATACAAAGCTTAGCTAAAAAGACTGTCATTTCCTATAAAATTATAAATTTTTACATAAAAACAAAAGAACTTTAATATAAGCCTACTAATAAATAATTTGACTATTAAAATAGCCAGACTCCACTCAGTACTTATTCTGTTATGCACAAATCACATTTAATCTTCCTCCCAAAGCCACGGGGTCCACACCTGTTATTATTCCTATTTTAAACAGATGTCTCTTGAAATTAAAATTACAATCCACATGGTAGAAAGGGAGCTTCAAAGAGGTGAAACAACATGGCCGAGAACACACCTAGACCAGAGTCAAGCCACGGTGGAGTGAAAGAGGGGTTACATTCTGGTTCTGTTGGCTTCTTCCAGTTGCCCCGCCCAACCAAGAACATCAAGGAGAAAAGAGATTTATTTTCACATGATTTAATACATTAGTAGGAATACCAGTTAAAGGGTATTTCTAAGTTATTTTTTCTACATATGCTAGAGCATAAACACCCAAATGAAGGTGGTATGTTTATTGATTTGCATCTTATTTTTTTTTAGATGGTCTCACTGTGTAGTTTGGGTTGAACTTGCTATATAGATCAGGCTGGGCTCAAACTAATAGAAACCCACCTGCTTCTGGCTGTTTTGGACCTAAAATGTCTCCCAGTAGCTACTGTCTAGAAGGTTTGGACTACGGTATTGGAAGTGGTGGGGGAAAGGTTAGTGGGGGGATAACCACAAAAGGCCCTGGTCTTCCCCTCTGCCTCTAATTCCCGACTACTACGAAGTGAGAGCTTGCTCTGCCATGGACTCCCAGCCCTGCTGCTCAGCCCCTTCCGTAAACCCAGATCACCCAGGCCAAGTGGACAGCGACCTCTACGCCTTTCCCAGGGTGTTCCTTCTTGCCTCTAAGTTGCCTTGTTGCTGTCATAAATATGACACAACTTCTGACTAAGCTCAGAGAGAAACACTGCCGTATGTATAACCCTGGTTCTCCAGAAGCCCACGTTGGCCTCGTTCTGCCTTTGTCTCTGCCAACTGCAGGTTTGCAGTCACTGGGGCAATCAGCAAGATGCGCTGCAGCATCTGAAGACAGCTCCAAAGCAGGCGCTCTGGGACTATTCTCAGCAATGACAGCATCACTAGATTTAGTACCCCACTTGCCAAAGGAATGCTTTTGAAGGGGAGAAATATTCACTTGGATGTAGAATAAAGACGTATTTGTTTTAATGCTTAAATAAAGAATTGGACCTCTCGGTTGTCTTTATGTTGAAATGAATAGATAGACTGCTGTAACAATGATATTTCGGATTTTTGATGCAAGGGTCAGGCCATGTAGCAAGCTCTCTGTAGGCACAAAGCAAGTCCTAATATGATGTTTTTGAAATGAAAGCATGCCTCTCCTGTTAGTTTGCAGAGTAATTGAAGATTTCCATTTCTTGAATGAAAAGGGAAACTTGAAACAAACAAAAAATAAAATTAAAATTAAAAAGCACACCATCACCACCCAACAAAACAAAACCCGGACTTGGCTAGCTGGGTGTCACACACCTTTATTCCCAGTACTAGGGAGGCAGAGATAGAGGGAGTTCTGTAAATTCAAGGCCAGTCTGGTCTACTTAGTGAATTGCAGGCTAGCCAGGGATACACAGAAGACCCTGTTTCAGAATGAATAAAATCAGACACACTAAATGTCAGTTCCTCAAATACCTCTTAGAGATTGGGGCTAGAGTTTAGGGGTAGAGTGCTTGCTTGGCATGTGTTAGGATAAGTTTGATCTCCAGCACCAAAAAAAAAAAAAATTAAAAATAAAAAGCTAGAATACTTCTGGTAATGCACACGCTTGTAATTCCAATACTTGGTAAATAGAGATAAAAGGATTAGCTATGTTTGAGGCCAATCTGGGCTACATGAGTCCTTGTCCATCCCCAAAAATGTTTTTTCAAAAAATAGCTCTTGGTTTTCTCAGGGAGCAGGCATCTCAGTGTGTGCTGGAGGATGTCCCTATATTCACAGCCTGGAAGGAAAGAGTTCTTTCCCAAACACAAGTACCTTCCAATGGCAAAGAAATCAGAGGCGCCATGAATCAGTTGTTAGACACAGATAAACTACACACCACACATAACTAGCAGTGCAGGGTGTGTCGACCAGATGCTCAGCATTACTTTAAATGAAAAGACTTATACACCCAAGTTCAACAATAGAAAAGAGACAAAGCCTAGGTTACATTTTTAGATATGTCTTAGACACCTATCCTCCGAGATGCCAGGGATGGAACAGACATGGGAGCAGGCCACGAATAACTTCAACAGAGCAATTGTGGCTAGTACCTTCTACAAGGGCAGTTTCCTCTTAACCACAGGAAAAGCAATCCTCGCTAGTACAGGACTCTAGAACACTAAAGTTTGCCTGTGAAATGCAACGTGCTTGTTGATGCTCTCGCCCTCCATGTTTTCTCAGAAGCTGCCCCTGACTGCACAAGAGCAAATGGTACCTGTGGATTACGACTCTACACACACTACATTATATGTGTTCTGCCCAAAGCACACACGGTTGATAACCCTTATGTATCGGAAATCTCACTCTGTGATTATTCCTTTTGCCCAGTCTCTTCTCATCACATGCCCATGCAAAGCCATTTCTAACCCAGGTCGGGAATATGTGGTACCACTTAAGCCAGACAAAGTGCTCACCGGGATCAAGGGTCCCTCTGGGGACTTACTACTGCTCAGGAAGTTGACACACTTGGTTGCCTCCAGTTCCTGGCGACTAACTGGTCATCCTTCTACTAGGTTCCCAATACTCCATGGTTTGCTGAGTGCTGGATCCCACTTATCCTGTCTAGGGCTCCTCAATCTGCTCTCAAGCGGATACCCTCCTGGGGTGTTGTCCACAACCACCTCCACTGAAAAGACAGCATTCCCATGACTTAGATATTCCCAGCACTGTTCGGCCAACTACCTCTGCAACTTGGTCCTACCAGTCCCTCAGTGCACCATAGCCCCTAAATCAGCAAACCACGGTTTTCAGCACAATTAAGCTCCTTGTAGCTTCTCCTATGAGTACCCTGCTCCATCCTCCTCAAGGAGGAGCTCATGCCTGGCTCACCTTACTCTTTCCGGGGTTCCCCTCCTCGGGCACCCCCTTTCGTCCTCCTCTTCCTCCACTAGGCATTCCCCTCCGGGGTTCCGTTTTCTGCCCTGTGGAGGGCGCCCCAAGGATGCGCACATGACTCCCCCTCCTCTGGATCCTGCCCTCCTACTCTCTGCGTTCATACACCCTCAATTAACCATCGTGACATCTACCCCAAACCCTAGTTTCCCAGGCTCCCATCCCCAAGCTTCTCAAAACCGCAGTTCAGAGTCCTTAGATCCAGCCCTTCAGGGCTCTGCACCCCCCCAACTCTACGGTCTGGACTGTCTATCCTGCATTCTAAAAAAAAAAAAACAAAAAACAAAACAACAACAAAAAACAGTACTGAAACTCCAACATCGGGTCCCAATCCCAGCCCCTGGGGTCGCGACACCTGTCAATGCGGTTCTACATCCTCGCTGCAGAGTCGGGTCAGGCGCTCCCCAAGGTCTCGATTCTGACATCCCTGCCTCTCAAGCCCTGGCAGAGATTCTCCAGCATCGCAGTGGAGACCTGCACCCGCCCGCTCCCTGTCCCCCACCCCACCACCCCACCACCCCACCACCCCGCGACGGAACTCACCAACACCAGGCGCGACCGATCTCCGGCAGCCCAGCCCCGGCAGCCACACTCACGCCTCCGGCTCCGGGAGAGCTCCCTCCGAGCGGCCGCGACCGCGGAGGGTTCTGCACCCGAGAGCGGCGGGGAGGAGGGGACAAGCCGGGCCGGTGACGCCCAGCTCCGCCCCTTCCCGGCCCAGGGGAGGGCGGCATAGCCCGGTGCACACCCAGCTGCCACAGCCACCGCAGCCGAGGAAGTTGACTGACGCCGCTTCCTTCCACCCACCTTCAGACCCTAGCACCCCGACTTTAACTGCAACTCCCCCAGGGGCTTGAGGCAGCGAACGATGCGGTATGCACTCTGTGTTCTTTCCCAAAAACCATTTACTAAATCCCTCGGGAGGGGGAATAACAAACTTCATCTGCCATTGCAGAAGCTGATCCCAACACTGGCCTTCTTTTTTCTCACTGCCCTGCGGTGAACATTCATGGTAGCCCGAGAAAAAAAGGCGCTGCATCCCAAGAAGGCCCTGCAAACACACTTCACAGCCCCTGTGCAAGACTCATACTTCTGCTGGGATTGCATCACACACGTAACTCGGCTGTCCCAAGCAGACCCATGTAACCTCCATCCAGTAAGTCCTGTCCCCCGACCCCACCCCGCCCTCCCGCCAGTGGCTGGAGTAGTTCTTCACCCACAATGCACTCTGTGTTTATCATGATTATTAGTTTTTTAATCCATTTAAGAAGCAGGGCCATCAGTTAACAAATCGAATTGACTTTGCTGCTGAAAAGCTGCCTGCATTATCAGGAAGAAAGAGGGTGGGAAGGTCAGCTCCCGAGAAGGTGGTCTATATAGGCTTGCCTGTAAGAGGTCCATCTTTGCTACTATTCCGAGACAGCTAGACTGCTGTTTGTGGGCTGCCCAGCCTGAGCTCTTTCAGTCCAAACCCACCCTGTTCCAGTGAAGCATCTAACAATGCATTCCCAACGTTTAAAAATCTGTGATTCGGTGAATCTTTGGCAAAACATTCAGAAGCAAAGTGAACTGTTTACTGAGTGGGATTATTTCCAGTCCGCAAAGGAAGATGTTTGGATTCTGGGCTGTTATGCAGCAGTTGAAGCAGATTCAGACCCTGGATGAGTCCGGGGACCTGTCTAGGTCCCCTTCCTCTTAGCTTTGCTGTACAGCTTAGTTCTCTGGCTAAAGTAATGAATGCTTGCTAACATGGAAGGCTTTGGCTTGCCAGGATGCAAGAGCAGCCTGGACATCTCTGGGAAGAGGCAGAAATGAAGGCTGCTCAGGGTCCCCAGGAGCTTTTGAACCATGCCTTTGCATGTTGAGTTACATCTGCGCTGAGGATGATGAGGGAAATGGCCAGCACTCATTACTTTGCTCAGACATTCCTAAAGTGGAGGGTCTCAGGGCCATCTTGGTCTCAGACTCGGCAGATTACTTGAGGACTTATCACCATAGGCAATTGTTTGTTTTGTAGTATTACTTTATATACCTGTTCGCCTATGGTTGGGAAACAATTGTTTGTTTTGTAGTATTACTTTATGTACCTGTACGCCTGGGGTTGTGGAAACATTCCTGGGGCAATCTTGCATAGAAAAGTTTAAGGAGCCATGTTTTAATCCTTCCTCATGGAAAAAAATTTTCCTTTTCTTCCAACCTTTCATCAAGGACAAGTGTGTATATGTGTATGTGAAAACAGCCAGGCGTTGATACCTGGGTAAGAAGACCTGTTCACCACTGGATAGCTAGCAATGCTTTCTCATCATTCATGTCTCTTAAAAATAACTGGTGTCTGCTAGCTATCCCTCACAGTGCCAAAAAGTGGTGTGCCTGTTTCTAGTGGAGGAGAGCCAACAGTCTTAACTCAAGTGTGAAGCTAATGTGTAACCAAACCAGCCAGCACAGCAAGGTGAGCCCTCTGGAACCACAGTGGCAAGTCTGTTATGGGGTAATGAACCGCTCTCTAATCTTATTTGAGTGGCACTCGACAAGACTCAGGTCAGGTCTAACCAAAAGCCTATAGCTAAGCAGGTCATACCCCTTCCAAGGAAAGCTTACCGCTGTTGTTTGGTTAAGTAGACATAGTATATCCTTCTAAATAATTATGTATTATCTGTGACCATAGACTAGTGTTGGTCACCCACCAGAGTGGTCAAGAGTAGCCACAGAGACTCATACTTGGCCAAAGTACTGGGAATAAGTATCGAATGCTCAGCCACGATGGGACAACAATCCCAAGCCTATAAGATGCTTTGAATATCATAGAGGAAGGAGCAGAAAGAATGTAAGAAAGAAGGATGAGTGATGTGTGTGTATCAGTGACCTCATGGCACGAAGTCACTGTTATAATCCTGAACTCACAACCGTGGTTTCTGGGACAAGATCTACACAAGATTTCACACTTCAGCATCCTGTCATGGAGGGGGCATGGTTCATAGGGTCCTCATCCTCCGTGGAGATTTATAAGCAGTTAATGGCTGATGGGGAGTGAAGGACATTTCTTCAGTGGTATTACCATTGGAAAAGTGCCCATACTCTGTGAGGAACCCTAAGGAAGCTAATCAGACAACAGAAAACAAAAGAAAATGTGAACATATGTGAACATAGAGGGGACCAAATGCCTACTTTCTACTATGAAGTGATACACTACTTTAGTTTGGGCAGGAAAAATTTTTTTATTTATTTATTTTGTAACTCCGGGGAAAACAGGCCTACAATGACCTTTCTATTTTTTGCATCTGAATAAAAATCTTTGGATCTTCTGCCGCAGGGACGCTCAGGATGCTCTCTGGTATGTGGAAATTCACAGCCCAACCCCCTGTCCGCATGTAACATTTCCACCAGGCAATAACATTTTCACTTGAGAGTTTTCTAAGTTCTGGAAGTGTGTGATATCTGAATTGGCAGTGTTAACGCAATAATAAGACCACACTGCTGAGCCAGTCCACAGCCTCCCAGACACCACGTTCTTCCATATTGTCCTTTAAAGCCATGATAGGTACAGCATGACAAAGGAGTTCATTCGCAAGTTTAGGAACTATTTGTTCCCAAAGTCTGAAAAAAATAATTTGATCTGTTTCATGTTGCAAACCAATCAAACTTGCACTGTTTTCAACAAAACTTCTACTGTGCACTCAAAGAGCATGTGAAGACATCATATATCAACCTTTGTACGTTTACAGGAGGTACGGCAGTGCTGGCCTTATTGTGACACATGATAAACTGTGTTTGGAGTTCTGGTACATATGCTGGTTTATACTAGCCCAGACTCGTGTAAAGAATTATCACAAGAGCCACTTGTGACAATGTACACAGCAAGGAGAATTGTTTAAAAAGCTCTAGTTACTATTGTCGGCTTATCTCAGGGGAGGACTGAGGGTCATTCAGTTTTCATCACTTGGTGAAGAAAAGGAGAGTTGCTTTGTGTACTGGTTAAAAGGATGTGTTTGTCCCTTAGCCTATCCCAAGTCTGAGACCCATTAGGGCTTCTCAGAGTCTGTGGTCAGTAACCTAAGCCCTCTGTGAATCAGAGTCTTTAAGTGTAGCATGGAAACAATTATCTTACCCACTTGTTGCAATTATCTCTAGAATGAAATGAAAGGCACACAGCATGTACTTAGCATTGTGCCTAACACTTAATGAGGGCTTGCTGAAAGTATATAAAAAGCAAGGGGTTGAATGGAAAAGTCCTTCATTTTTTTCCTGCTGGAAGAAAAGATATATTATTTTAGTGAAACTTGTGGGCAGAACTCACAGAAACTTGAATGTTAATGTTAAAAAAACAAACTGAAATCAGATCTAGCCTTCTTGACACTCTGTCATCAGGGTATCTTCATCCTGGTTTTTCTGTTCGGATCCCTTGCAGCTAGACAACTAGAGAAAGCAATCTCAACTGTTGCATAGACAGAATGAAACTGAAAGGAAAACAAAAACTGTGGGTTGGGCAGTGGTGGCACACCTTTGATCTCAGCACTCGGGAGGTAGAGGCAGGCAGATCTCCGTGAGTACAAAGCCAGCCTGGTCTACAGAGTGAGTTCCAGAACAACCTGGTCTACAGAGTGAGTTCCAGAACAACCAAGGCTAACCAAGAGAAACCCTGTCTCGAAAAACCAAAAACCAAGCAAACAAACAACTCACTGTGGATATATCAGGCTAAGATTAAATAAGGATAATGGTTTTCTTGTATTGTGTATCCATTTTGTCTCATTTCACAGTGGAATGTTCAGGGCTCATGAGAGCTCACTTCACTTTAATTTGGAGTTGGTCACTCTTTTTGTCCTCAAAAAAATGTTTGTCTATTTGTATTTTGTGTATGTGCTTCCATGTATGAATGTCCACCACGCTCATACTGGTGCCTGGGGAGGTCAGAACAAGGTGACGTGCTTTTTGGATCTGTAGTTACAGGCAGTTGTGAGTCAGATGTGGATTCGGAGAACCTGGGTATTCTGCAAGAACAGAAAGTCTCTTAATTGCTGAGCCAACTCCCCTGGCCCTCTTTTTAGTTCTTTATAACAAATAATTGACAATTTTGAGCCAGACACATGGTGTGCAACCATAACCCCCACACTTCGGATGCTGAGGCAGAACGCGTCAGTCTAGCCTGTGCAACACAGTGAGGTCACAATGAGCTCCAGTCTCGAAACATCAAGAGCTGGTGGTGCAGGCCAGTGGTAGCCTGCTAGCATAGCATGAGCACAGCCCTGGGTGCCATGCCCAACACCAGAAAACAAAACAACCACTAGCAACAGAACATTTCTGAGAGCAAGTCAATTCGTGTAGACAACAGACACAAGTAGACATTGCCCCTGGGTCCTCAGGACCCCTGGGCTCATCTGGAGTTTGGAAGCCTTGGATCTGATCATAACTAGTTCCTGGTATGAGTATACCAGGAGGCAAAAAGACCAGCCAGGGACTTCTTTGTATCGCTAGCAAAATAATGTGAATTCCCGAATTGTAACATTTCTGCGGGTGCTAATTTTAACGCTTCTTCCTAAACAAACCCTAAATTTAGAAGATGCATGATGTAATTAGATCACAGTAATATAATGACAAAGAAAAGTATGCATCAGAGACGGAGGTGGTGCTTCTTCTTCCTTATGTGTCTATAGAAAGCTGCAACTAAAAAACTAAAAACCGTTATGGTGGCCCAGGAGTGGTGACACACTTAATTTCAGCACTCACGGGCCAGAGGCAGGAGGATTGGGCTCAAACACATTTCAAAAACAAAAACTGCTATTCCTGATAACTGGTTAGCAATTTGTAGGAATTATGTACTATTCTGGATCGTGTTTAGTTGTAGGGAAAGTTCCACATAATAGTTAGCTTAATGTTGCAAGCAGTAGAAGAAAAACACAGCCTGAGATAACTTCTACTTTTTGCCCCCAAGAGTAAAACCAGATATAACTATATGTGCAATGCACACATCCAGGGCTCTCAGAGCAAGAGAAGAAAGTTTCCCAGGGGCCATATTTACCAGGGATATCTGTAGTTATAGCTGAGACTCCTTTCAGTATATGGATGTTGCATACTCCGTGAAGTGGTGAAGGAACCCATCATTTGGACGTTGAGGGACATAGCTGAAGTCTGGAAGAGTCTTCTTATTGACCAAAGATGAGAATACAAGGAAATTTTCTTATGATTAAACATTAGCCCATTGTGGTGACATGTGTCTTTTATTCTCAGATACCCAAGAAGTGAAACATGAAGATCACTTTAACCCAAGAACTCAGGACTGGCAGTCAACAAGAAAGATTGAACACTAAGTTTCTGTTTGAAGGACCAGTTCATCACACAACTGGAAGAGCCTTGAATACATTGTGGGGAAAATTCTAGACTGTTATTATTCTATTCATTAAAAAAGTATTTAGAGTTGGCCATCTGAGGTGGTTAAAATGAAAATGCCCCCCACTACAGGTTCATATATTTGACCTCTTAGTCCCTATTTGATGAACTGTTAGGAAAGGATTAGGAAGTATGGCCTTGTTGGAGGAGTTGTGTCAGTGGGAACAGGCTTTGAGGTTTCAAAAGCCCAACCCAGGCCCATGGTTTCTTTCTCTGACTTTGCCTGTGGCTCAGGATGTCAATCTCTCAGATACTGCTCCAGCACCATGAAATGATGATGGTGTCTCTTCTCTGCAATAGAACAGTGACTAAAACATCATCTGTAGACACAGAAAGATGGTTCATAGCTGCCATAGGCAATGAGATCAGGAGATGGCCAATTTCCTTTGGGAGATGATGGAAATGTTCTAGAGTGGATAATGGCCATGGTTATGATAACATAATGTCCCAAACTACTGAACTCTATACATTAAAATGGTAAATTTTAGTGTATGTAAATTCTATTTCAACAACAAAAGACACAACAAAGCTAAAGGTCTGTCCAACTTCTGGCAAAGGCAACTCTTAAAAGAGAAACTATTAGTTGGGGGCTTGACTATAGTTGTAAAGAGTTGATCCATTATCATTGTTGCAAGAAGCAGGCTGGCATGGTGCTTAGAGCAGTACTAAAAGCTTGGCATCCTGAGTCACAGACAACAGTCAGAGAAAGAGACAATAGGCCTAGGCTAGACTTTTGAAACCTCAAAGCCCACTTTCAATGACATACCTTCTCCAACAAGGGATACCTGTGGGAGACCAGCTTTGACAAAGGTACTACTTACCAGGTTATAGGGGCATGGGGATTGGAAAAATTAGTAAAGAGAACAAATATTTAAGTTAAAATAAACAAACAGAAGCATAGGATAGTATGGGGGGGGAGTTCCAGTGAATACTGAAATCGCCCATGTTTAATTGCCATTTGCTTAAATACCCTGACTCCAAAAGGTAGGAGTAAGATTAAAAAAAAAAAAACTGCATTCACATAAGACAAGGAATGAACTGACCAGTTGAAGATTGTGGGCTATATTCTTAGTTAAACATTCCGCTGCTAGAACAAGATAAGTAATGCTCACACCCTACACCAAAACATTCTGTTGGCAAACCACTCCCCAGGTGGGATCCATTGTTATCCCCTTAAGGGAGTTAGGTCCTTAGACTTTTGTTTGAGGTAGAAACAGATCTACTTCTCAATATTGGAAATACAAGGGCTGGATATTAGCCACATCTGTTGACAATAACCTTGAGAGAGCAGAACTCTCTGATCTAAATCTAGGTGGGACCTTTTAGGTAGAAACAGACAATAACTTTGAAGAAATAGAAGTTCCAACTCTTGGACTTTTAGAAAAGGTGGAAACAGGCTCACATTTTTGGGCCTCCACACACTACTCCGAATCCTCTCCCAACAGTTCATCACAGAAACAACATGTTCGTCCCTTGTTCCCTTTGTTTCATTCTCTATGTTTGTTTTTTAGCTACCCCTGTCTTATAAATGGCCATCTGTCAGTCCACTGACAACTTCCACATTTATCTTGTCAGAATAAAACTGTCTCCTGGTCTCCAGTTGTATCTAAAACATCTTTTCTAAAGCCTAGTATGTTGGACATAAAACTGTAAGCAAGGACTCAAGCCTTCCTTTCCTTTTACATCCCCTTATAGTTTCTCTAACCACCAGTGAGTGACACTCATTGTTTATTTCATTTGTTCATTCGTTCATTTGTTATTCAATGAGCTAACCCCTTCCCATGCTCTGTATCTATTAGGCAGGCACTGTGCTATAGCCTAGGGCATAGTAGTGAACAAGATGCACATGCTGTCAGCCTTTATGGACTTGTATAGATGTCTACTTAGTTACCAGATGACATTTTACTTTCCTTCTAAATTCGAGACCAGCCTGGTCTACAAGAGCTAGTTCCAGGACAGGCTCCAAAACCATAGAGAAACCCTGCCTCGAAAAAACAAAAAAAAACAAAAAAAAACAAAAAAAAAACCAAAAACTAAATACCTCTTGGCTCTAGCCTTGGCTCTTCACCAAACCACATCCTCCATCCTCCAGGCTCTCATCAACTCTCACCTTCATGACCACAGTTACTTCCTTGACTAGTCTTGTCTTCATTTCTTTTGCCCAGCCTTGCTAATCTCTGATCATTCTTCTGTATTTCTGCTAACAAAAATCTTCAAAATCAAATCTTTGGGTGGGCAAAATGGTTAGTAAAAAGCACTTACTATGAAGCCCGACAACCTGTTTTATCCCCAGGACCCATAGAGTGGAAAGAGAGAACCGACTCCGGCAAGTGGTCCTCTTACCACAAATACAAGCATGCCAGTGTGCGCGCGCGCGCACACACACACACACACACACACACAATTAAATAAATGTAATAAGATACTCACCTCCTATTGAGTTCCCTTATTATCAGCTTTTATCTCTTAAAGCAAGCCTCCCAGAACCTGATAACTATAACATGTTCCCCTTCAGAACAAAAGCCAAACAGGGCTTAATGACAATGGGGGTTTGCCTTTCTTTCCCAACTCAATGGAAAAAATCATTGTGCAGTTTAGGTTCCATTGATGTGATAGATTTTCCTTTATTCTCCATCACCCCTAAACCCTACAGTCTGTATATAACTAAGATAAATATGTTCCTTAAGTGTCTTAGTTAGGGTTTCTCTTGCTGTGAAGGGACACCATGTGTCTACAGTAAACATTTAATTGGGGCTGGCTTACAATTTTAGAGGTTTAGTCCAATATTTCCATTGGAAGAAGCGTGATGTCATGCAGGCAGATATGGTGCTGGAGAAGGAGTTGAGAGTTCTACATTTTGATCTACAAGCAGCAAAAAGAGACTGTGTTTCACACTGGGCATAGCTAAAGCACATATGAAACCCCAAAGCCTGTCCCCACAGTGACAGATTTCACTCCCAATGGGCCAAACATTCAAACACGAATCTATGGCAGGGGGCATATCTATTTAAACCATCCATACTAAGTAAGAGAAATTTGACAAATTATCTTTTGAATTTAAAAAAAATGACCTTTGGGGTGAGTGTGTATGTGTATGCATGTGTGTGTGTATGTGTTTGTGTGTGCATGTGTGTGTGTTCTGGCTTTCATGCATGCCATAGCATATGTGTGATACGTGTGCATGTCAGTTGAGTTTTCTCTCCTTCTACCATATGTATTCTGAAGATCAAACCTCCTTTGATTCTGAAGATCAAAATCACACAGTCAGACCTGACATCAAGTCCCCTTACCTACTGAGCAATCTCGCTAGCTCAGACTTTCTTCTGTTGTGATAATCTGCAAACACCTTGTTAGCAGTTGTCAAGAGGAGGCATCATGAAAGGCCTGATGATGTTTTTCAGATATTTACCCTGAAGACAGTTTATAGGCTTTGTCCCACAGTCTCTTAGCAAAAGTGGACAGACAGGCCACCTATTTCAGACTGTGATGAGAGGTGAGATGCCGGCAGACCTGGAAGTTATAGAAATGGATTGAAATACATCAGAGAAGTAGGGAAGCTGTGAGAAGGCAGAGGGACTCAAAGGAGAAAAGTGATACAAAATGCTGTGAAAATTGACTCTAAGTATTGGGTGGTTATAGAAACCGGTGGCAGGCAAGGGATAGAGAACAAAGGTTTTCTTAAACAGCTAATCTACTGAGGATCTTACAGACCACTAGAGGCCAAAGCAAAGGACTGTGCTTACTTTCATGTGTTCTTTGTATGCGACTAAGTGATTGACAGTAAAACTCTTGGGTTGTGATGGCACAGTGTTCTCCTTCCACACTGAGAAAGTGATTAAGGCTTGTCCCAACATCCTGGCCATCATCATATTGCCATGTGTCTATCCTTTTCATGCCTTCTGTCTTCTCAGCCATGAAGGCCTTCTCTCCACCTTACCAGGAACTTTGCTACCTCCTTCATGACTCATCTAGACGCCCCTCCTAATGCTGAAGAGCTGAATGATTAGAGATTTTTTTTTTTTCCGAGACAGGGTTTCTCTGTAGCTTTGGCACCTGTCCTGGAACTAGCTCTTGTAGGCCAGGCTGGACCCGATCTTACAGAGATCCACAGGTTTCTGCCTCCCAAGTGCTGGGATTAAGAGGGTGCACCGCCACTCCCCGGCTCCAATGATGCTTGTAACATGGCCTAGTGAAAATCTATCTAAATATGTCTTCTCCCCTAGGTGGAAGGGCTGGGTTGCATTATGCTTATCTTTTTAGCTTAAGTCCTAGGAGAACGTTCCTAGCACCAAGGTGGTTTTCAAAGAGAAGCTTCTGGATATACAAAAGAATTACTAATAGAACATCGCATATTGAGTACTGACCTTGTGTCTGTCCACTCCCAGAATAAATCTCACTTAATGTCCGTAGGGCAGCCTGGTAAGGTGCTTCCCTTCTGAATTCAGCAATTTGTTGTCCTTTATCAGGAACACGGAGGAAAGCAGGCATAATCAGATCTGTCTAGAGATGAGGGGAGACCTCACCCTGCTGTGGCTTGCTCCATGGATTCTCAATAAAACTGTGAAGGCTGCACAATTGCCTTGTAGCCTTGACTCAGTAGAGGGGGCAAGAGAAGTTGTGTGTGCACTTAAGAGAGAAAGTGGGAAGAAAGGAGACTGCTCATGTCTGCTAGAGCTGGTTGTGCCTGTTAGTGACTAAGAGAAGGGACTGTGTCACCTCCAAGACCCTCAGGTTCCTTGAAGTCTGAGCACCTCTTGCTGCCCGCTCCCGCCCTGCGGCTGATGACACGGCAGACGGTTTGTGGTTGCCTTCAGCAGATTGCCTCTCCTAACAGCTAGTTGGAGAGAAGATAAAGGTTCTTACGTGTCACTGTTATGGTCTCACAAAGCACTCTGCGTCACCACCGCAATTAGCTGTAATTAGCTCATTGTCGTGTTGTACTGTAATAACGCATGGCTAATTACAGAGCATTAGAACCATACTCTGGCTCACATCTAGGAGCAGTAGTCATTCATTTATGATTTATTAAGAAT